AACTATTTTCAAGCAAGGACATGATTAATTTACTTTTATGCGAACACATGAGTGTCCAAGGGTCGAGCTGCGGCAGAAGGTGGAATTAACATTGTTCATAGAAAACACTAAACAAAAAAAAACCCGCCAACCGAACTACGGTAGTTCTTATTCCTCAAAAAGGATACGTAGGCATTGGGGTAGGGCCTAAGCGAGTATACGTTTATTTTCCCTATATTCTTTTCTCCTTTCCTTTGCATTCATTCTTTTTCAATAGTAAACAATGAGCATAGATTAGATACACCCATAAGATTAGATAACAAGAGTAGATACTGTAGAGTACTATAGGTGTGTGGGGTGCTAATACCTTCCCCTTGCGTAACAAATTCCCTTACCCGATCTCTCTGTCGCAAGACTGTGACTTCTCCCTTCTTAGGTTTTTTCGATGTTTAACTTTCCCTTTGTGTGGGATAAAAGACGTTCGATGGCGACTTCATTGTTTGATGATTTGTAGGCAGTTGTTTACACATCTAGATTTGGGCCTTCAAAACTCAGCTATTTGGCTATTACAATCAGCAATAACTTATGCTACAAATAAGGACTTAAATCATTAGTTTACTAAAATATATCCATATTTAGAAACTGCATATTCTTCAATATTCTGAATTGATTCTTCTTGACCTTTAAATCAGTGTCACATAATATTACATAATATTCCCATAATATTATGCATCTGTTAAATAATAACTGAATCCACTAGTTTAGCTCAGTTCAGGCGCGATGTCGTATGTTCCTTCATAGGACATCTTACCTGACATGTTGCTCTAGATGTTGAAACACTTTAACTCAACATGTCGCAACATAAAATTGGACTTCTTGATTCACTTGTTCTACTTACCAAGTAATCACATCCTATTAACATATTGATGTTATATTAGTTTTACCAAACATAAAACCAACCATAAAAACAGTGAATTAACAATCTCCACCTTTGGTTTATTTTGGCTAAAAATAATTTACATAACATTTTTATAAATACAACCAGAACATAACTCAAGGGCTAAGCAATAAAACAATAACAACAAAACTAAACACATATGAAGCGGTCAGTCTTTAGTCTTCACACATTTGATAGTCTTCATTGTCTTCTTATCACATGATGTCATAACCTCAACAATAGGACTTATAATGACAATCCAACACTCCAAAACATATCCCCCCCTATTTTAGCCAGAATATGACAAAGGAACCAACCTCAGAACATCATATCCAACATCTATTCACAGCAGCTCTAAACATTCACATTAGACTCAAAAGCTCAGCCACCATAGACTGCTCCTATTCATACTCAACTGAACCAATCTACTAAGGCTAACATTGGATGGTGTTAATTCCATAAACATTTCTCCCATAATGAATTCACTCCCCCTCAATCCAGAAACAATCCTCACAGAGGGACAAATCTTCCTCTAAGGAAGCAAAGAAGAAACTTAGGAAGTACCCAGCCACTTATTTGAGAAATCCATTTAATGACACGTGGGACCTCATTGTTTCTCCTGAGTAACTCATAACAGAAGACACAATTATGTTAATAACTCAGATCACCAGATACAAAAAAATGCTCAAAGAGGACCAAACACTGAATAGGACATCCTCTTCGACATTTTTGCAAAAACAACTAGAAAAACAGGCCTCAAATTTATCAGCATCTGAACAATACCTTTCTCCCCAAGCTCATGACATACAAACCCTTCACATAACCATGCCCAAATAGAACTCACGCATACCCGGACAAAGGACATGAGGGCAATGTTGAACCCAAAAAACCACCAGATGAAGAATATAAGAAATGTCCTCTATAAAACTCAGGCAATGACATAAGAATCTCAGACATAGTCAATGGTCTTAGTAAAAAATGTTATTTGAGAAACAAACCAAAATAATATGTAACTTCAAAAAACAGTTTTTGAATGCCTTTTTGACTAATTCTTCTAGAAGAAGATATTTCGCATAACAGCTCATGCAAAGTCTATCATCCTATTTTACACTTCATTTTGACAAGTAGAGATTGCACCAGCCATAAAACATCCTTGTTTGGCTCAAAGAGAAAACACTTCCTTAAAATTGTTCTGAAATCTAGTTAGACATTGTCTACTTTTAAAGAAAACAAGACCAACACTTCTTCTGAGCCTAGTCCTTTCAAGGCAACACACATCAAAATAAAAAGACTCAAAACACCACACGAGTGACATCCCCATTCATCAACAACCTTCAAATAGTCCTTCCAAAATCTACGGAGAAAAAAAATTCTCCCACACATAATCAAGACTGTCCTTCAGACTCCTCCTAGGAAACATGTAGGCACATGCTTGAAACAACTGGCTTCATATAGCTAGAATAGCTTACAAACAATAATGTTTTGCAGCATAATGTTACAATATGTTGTCTGACATTATAACCTCATAAGAGGCAGATAAACTCAATAAGCTTGAATATCAAGCAAGCTTCAAAAGTCTACATTATTGCAGCAATATCCCGTATGTACTCACTCCCTTTGTCATGGATAATCAGTACCACTAACAGATGCAATGTATTCTTCTTTGGTGGTTGACAAAGCAATTGAAACTTTCTTTTTGCTATACCCACTAACCAAAGTATTTGAAAACATGTGACAAGTCCCACTAGTGATTTTCCTTTCTGACATTCAAATAGAAAATCAGAATCAGAGTAACCTACCCAGCTACAATCTCTTCCTTTGAAATACCAAAGCTCATACTTAGATGTAGCATGAAGGTATCTAAGAATGCACTTAACATTTTTAGATGCAATTTCTTAGGAGCTGATTGATACTGGGTGCACATACGAACGCTAAACATGATGTCAGGCCTAGATGTAGTAAGGTATAAAAGGGATCATATTATACCTAAATATTGCTTAACATCTACATCCTTACCATTGACATCTTTGTCTAAATTTCCATTTGTTGGCATTGGTGTGTAAATTGATTTTGCCTCTTTCATGCCAAAGCGTTTTAGCAATTCAAGACAATACTTTGTTTGACACATAAAGGTTCCTTTATTAAGTTGTTTTTTTTGAAGCCCGAGAAGGTAATTCAACTCCCCATAAGATTTATCTCAAATTTTCCATGCATAAGTTCAGAAAACTCCTTGACCAATTTTATGTTAGTAGAACCAAATATGATATCACCAACATATATTTGAACTAAAGTATGTGTTTGACTTGACATTTAATGACGCTAAACATGTTTGTGCACACATAAGTGTTTATCAAGAATAAACAAAAAGGAATACATGAAAGTATAGTATGATGAGGTCATTTTAAGTATACAAATTGAGAACATATCATGGTTATCAATTTAAAATTATATTGGAAATGAACACTCATAATATATATATATATATATATATATATATATATATATATATATATATATATATATATATATATATATATATATATATATATATATATATATATATTACGTCAAAATATATCATGTACCTAGGAAAATAAGCATGTAAAAGAAAGGACTTAATTACAAAGAAAAAAAATGAAACGATACTACCTCACTGGACAATATGAGGGAGGATGCACTTTGCATTTCACAAGGAACTTTCGAACGAGAGTTGAAACAAAGGCAACAAAGTGCCACAAGATCTTTTGACAATTGTAGTGATAAAAAATGTAGCGGTGTAAATCAGAGATTGAGCTATTAATTAACTCGACTCGTAAAAGCAAGAGTCACCACCGCGCTTTATTATTTCCAAGGGAAAAGGGAAAAGAGAGAAATAAAACCCTTAAATATGAAATGTAGAGTAATACTTAAAAGTAATGAAAATACAATGTGTTATTGAAAGAGATCGAAGGTTCGGGGGTTGGTTATACAAAGGGAAGGTACTAGCACCAAATGTATCTTCGGTGCTCCACAGGAACCTTTTGAAATATCTTTTTTTCGATTAAAAATTATTTGTTTGGTTAAAATGGGTGTGAATGAAATTTTGAAGATACGACGACCTAGTATCGAAGTTTTGACTTAAAAGGTGTGAGTTTTAAAATTGAGTCTTTTAGGAAAATTAACTTAAGATTAACAAAAATAGAAAAAATAAAAATGAATGAAGGGATTCGCACAATCGTATTACATGTATTTTGATGACATGAAGTCAACAAAGTTAAAACACTTTCCTTGGAATTTAATCGAACGAAAGATATAGAGATTAAATGATCGAGAATAAAGTTAATTAGAGTAACAATTGAATAATTAAATAAATAACAAAAATTCAATAAGAGACTAATTTATACTAACATGTATTTTTGAATAATTAAATAGTAAAAATTAAATAAAAGACTAATTTATAATAGCATGCATTTTAAACAATTAAATAAATGAAAAAAATTAAATAAATACTAATTTATAATAGCAAGAAATAATTATATATACAAAATAAACATAAACTAATATTTGGTTATCAAATATTTAATAGAATTGGGAAATAAGGATAAAGAACTAAAAAAATTAAATAAAATTCCCCGTCAAGTGGTTGAACTCGGGTCCCTTAGGTTACAACAGACATACCTTGCCACTGAACTGTGTTATTTATCTGTTATATCTATGTTTTATTAATATTAAAAAGGTGATGATGATAGTGGATTGGGCCAACAGGCCCATTGGGCTGACCCGGTTTGAGGGAAGTGAACAAAGAAGGGTTTTGAAACCCTAGAGTACAAAGAAGCGCCACATTATTGTATAGCATTGGAAAGGAAAAACTACAAATTATCATCATTACCAATTAAATCCTATTTTCCAAGTTTACCGTAAAAAACAAAATTAAACTCTCCCTTCCCTATTCAAAAATATCTCTAAATTCATTCCTATATTTCTCCGTTCTCATCACTCTTTCCCTCTATACTACAAATTTTAACAACATCACTTCCATAACAAATCACAAAATACCATAGCATGCCTTACAAACAGCGAGTCCACCAAGAAGCTTGTAACAAAGTTATTCAACTTGAGTGATAGCACATAGTCCTCTATTGTTAAGCTTTTCAGCATAAAGCTCAACACTGTTCTCTAGAAACTTAAACCTCTTCTGAACCACAAAGGTAATCTCTCTGATCCTCCTTCCCTTCTCACCGACAACAGCTTGTGTACGAGTAGCCCTGATGATGATTTCAGTCCTCATCAGCGTAACCCTAAACTCGACACTAGAGTAACCATCTTCAGCGAGTTCACGGGTCAGAACCTCAATCAATTCAGCAAAGAAAACACCATCTGCAACAAACTTTCTCTGCTTGCTCATCTGGGTCACCATCTTTGCAGAATTGGTCGGTGACCGGATGGTATTCCCATGGGCTGCTACACAAAAAAGGAAGGAATTGGGAGAAGAAGAAGGGTGGACGATGATGGTCTGTGGATAGCAGGTTGTTCTCTGGCAGAGTGGTTTGCCGAAGTGCTAGAATGTTGGTGTTCAGTGATGAAAATGAAGGAATACATAGAAGTGTGGCTTTGTGGAGAATTTACGGTGAAGGTTGAAGGGAAAAAGGTTTTGTATTGGGTTGTCCTGTCTAGAAATTACAGATGGCAGAAGGTGTATTAATGGATAGGGGATATGGATTGAGTGGCGGAGGTGACCAGAAATTGAGCAGCTGGGTTTGTCATGGTGGAAGCAGAATACGAGTGGGTATAGTAGCAGATGAAGGGAGTTATTTGGGTTAGTCTTAGAAAGCAATCTAACATTTTTAGCTCAACAAAAAGAATTCTTAAGCCAGAAACATACTCTAACTACAATCCCATTTCATCATAACGTGGTAGGTTACCCGAAATTGCCACTAGTGGCTGCTGGAGTCAAAACCTTCAGCTTCAGCTGTGAAGTAGAAGGCTTCTTCTGCAGGTATATTTTTAAACTAATTCTTATTAGAGAAGGTGCTTATTATTATTATTATTCTAGCATTTCTAAATTCCAACACAAATGTAGCAGCTCAAAAATCCAGCAAAGTGATAATTTAAGTGATCATATGGCATAAAAGAAATGGTGCAAAGAGAAGATTCAAATTGATGTTGCTATGCAAATGAGGAAACAAATATTGATATGTGTATGAGAAAAATTATGCAGAAACAATAGGGAGAATAAATACCTATTGGAGTCTCTCCGATGGAGCTTCTAAAAATCAGTAAGTTCTCCCTTTGACGCTCAAGCTCCTTTTTACCCTGATTATTTGTTGTGATGCTTGAACAGACTTTCTCCTTTTTTCTGTTTTTTTCTCCCCCTCCAAAGTGGCTGTCTTGGTCTCTTTTTATAGGCATAGTGGAGTAGAATTGAGAGGGAAAATTGTAGAGATTTAAAAAGTTATGAATGCCCTGATTTGCTGCTTTTTTCATACAATTTTAAGTTCCCATTTTAGTGCAATTTCTAGGCTGTTATGATGCAAGGCAGCAGTGTGTAGCAGACTAATTTATAGCAGTTTTTTGGCAACATCTGGACTATTGCAGGCTGTTGTTTTGGACAGAAAAAGTGCCACAAAAATTGGACTGTTATTGTTGAAACAGGGCTGGAAAATGGGCAGCAGACTGCTGTTTTTTTTTGTACTTGTTTGTAGAGGCTGCAACATTATATTTACGGGCCTTTAAACTCTTTTGCATTGCTGGAAAATTTTTCTAATCACACACTTGTTTTCTTTTTCACTAGTTGATGAATAAAATATGAAGATTGGAAGATGGAGCTTTAATAATGAAGCCATGGAGAATTTGAGAGACCTTGAAGGTGAAGTCTTTAGGCATAGAAACTTGAAGAATTTATTTTGAGATTGTAACTTGAAACTTCATTGAATGTAATTTGGGCATTAACTTGTATAATTTGTAAATGAATGAAACAATGGTTACTTGGAACTTTGAAATTGTATTTATGTGTCTTGCAAATTGATTGAGAACCTTTGAATGATGTTGAACTTTTGTCAATTTGAAATCAATATACTTGAATTTGGAGTTTTGAACTTTGAATCATGAAGTGGATTATAGAATTTGATTTCACTTTGAATATTATGAACATGATCTCTTGATTTTGAATATTGAGAGTGATCTTTGGATAAAAGACTTGAAAAAATTGATGAACATCTTAATTTCCAAGCAGTGTGTAGAATTCATGTGCTTGATGTTTTAATTTGAACATTGACTTGGAACTTCCAAACTCATGAAAGCAATAATTTCCTTCCATATTTTGAATTATGAATGAACTTGAAAACATGGATTTAACATGATATCATGAAAACTAATCACGGTTCTTGACTTGAATAATCAAGGATAAGATTTGAAGAAATTATGGCGTCATGAATCATAATTCAAAGTGGTCAAGAAACTTCTAATCCATAAAATCTCCTATAAATTTTTGATAAATTCCATATCCTTGCAAACACAAATTTTCTCTTGACCTCCTGAATTTGAACTTGTAAACGTTGACCTTTTGGTTAATGTGCTTTGAATCAATCTACGAACTTGATCCTCCCTCACATTCCCATGCACATTGATGGATATGTGAACCAATGATGATGAAATCTTGACTGTGCTTTGAGGAAGTTTTGGAGAAGCTTGAGACCACTTATTAAATGGAGCATGGAAATAAACACATGATTCTCTGAAAGTTCCTCGAAACAAGTTATCACACTTGAAACATCCATGATCAAAATGAGCCTGAACGATGTTCGAGATTCCATGCTCTTATATTAGAAGTTGTGCCTTGATGAATTAGTCTTCGAGAATCAATGATCAGTTGTACTTCTGGCTGGAGAGACTCAAAACCCTAATTGAGGCGTGACGCCTGATGCTCTTGAGTCAGACCTGTTTCTGCATAAAAAAACAAAAAAAAAAACATACACTTTATGCTTGATTAGAAGCTAGTCATGCATAAGATAAAATGTTCATAACACTCGATAATCTCTGCACAAACAATGCTCGAAGGTGAGAAGTTCGAAACCGACCATATTTTGTGACCTTGATGTATATATAAAAAATGCAAATGAAGATGGGATCTTAGGTCAAAAATTGGGGTATGACAGCTTCCCCTATTTAAGTTTCTTATATCCGGAGATATGAAGATTGAAATCTTCGTCTCGGCGAGATTGAAGGGACTTAAATACATAAACACAATTTTTGGCCCTAAGATACCGCCATTGTGTTTATGATATGAGATGAATGTAATATTTGAATCTTATGGGGAATGATGCCGCATGAGACAAACTAATGTTGGGGAAACCAAGCACATGATAAAATAATCCACAGGGGAAGAGATTATAACTCTATTGGAGAAACGAAGCCACATACTTCAAATGAGAGACTCTTATTGGGGAATAACTTCGAGAGAAAACAATTTTATGACTCTAACAAAGAAGACACCTTGCATAGGCTGCGAAAAAAGATGGCTACTAACCCAAGATGATGGTGAGTTTACAACTCAGGGTCAAAGGTAGAAAACAGATATACCAACTATTACTGATAGAAAACTACTGATTTTTACTGAAGGTAGAGATTTCATCACAAACTTCTCTGTGAGACTTTTACAGACAGATAACATTTGCTGCTGAAATAACATATGGTAGTGGATACACAAGCTGCTCAAATAAAGAGGTTGTCACTTGTTTTCTTCAAAGGATATTAATAAACATGCAAGATGCTCATGAAGAGACCGCCACTTGCTGTATTTAAAGGATATCAATAATACACAACCTACTCATGAAGAGTGATCCACTTGTTGTATTCCAAAGATATCAATAATATACAAGCTGCTCATGAAGAGTCTGCCACTTGCTATATTCCAAAGATATCTATAACACACAAGCTGCTCATGAAGACACTGTCGCTTGTTGCCTTCCAAATATATCTATAACACACAAGTTGCTCATGAAGAGACTTCCGCTTGCTGTCTTCCAAAGATATCTATAACACACAAGCTGCTCATGAAGATACCGCCACTTGTTGTCACGTCGATATTCAAGAAGAATGTTGTGATAACACTACTAGGGAATAAAATTCTTCTTCAATGGGGAACCATGAATATGTCCATCCTGAGGAGATCAAGTATTTAAATGCGCAAAATAAATGCACTCTTCATCTAGGTTTCACAGCCTAGAGAAAACCACGGGGTAGCATATGCAAGAGACAAAGCTCAATCCAGGGATGAACCAGAGAGAAAACAATCAAATAAGACTCAACCCAATGAGGAAACAACTCAATTAGGGATTTATCCTATCTAGAGATGGAAAAGGAAGGCTAAAGCAAGATTCTTCCACGAGGATTAGCTCAGTTGTGGAATTAGAAAGGAGGCACACTTTTTGCCTAAGTTGACATTCTATTTTGAAAGAGCAAATACGTTGTTTGAATAGACATAACCAAGGTATACGAAACCAATAACATTGACAAATATTAATGTGCATGCATGATGCAAGTGTGAATGGATAAATGAATGTCATGTATATGTTGACAAAACAGATAGAGGAGATAAACTGAAGATGACAAGACATCACAAAACAACCAGATACGCGGCTAATCTCAAAGAGATGGGAAAATATTTGGAGATAGAACAAAAGGAATCGTCAGAGCGTATCATATTACAAGGCTCAAGTCTCTTTGAAGAGGACCATACCCAAATTCAATCTTCTAACATCAATAAACCACTAACATGATAACAAAATGTACTTCGCTTCGCTTAGGGATAAAAATATTGCTCAACTAGAGATAACTGAATCAAGGCTTAACCGAGATTGATGGGGAGTCACCAAGATTAGTACTCTACTGGGAACACAAGATCACAGAACTAACACCTCGTGATGATTTTGAAGGAAGAAACCATTATTCATCATACAAGGATGAATTACCATGTTGTTTTTCATTTCAAGGCTTAACCTTTCTCGGAGAAATTGTTAATATTCCTTCCAGTATTTATGACACATTTAAGATAGGAATACTTTAATTAACTTTTTTTTAAACATTTCTATAAAAACTAAAATTTTTCCCGATAAAAAAAAACAAAAAGATAAATTCTTAAATTTCATTAATAAGATGGTAGTCCGCTAATAACGCAACTCCAAAGGATTACAAAAATTTGGAAAATGTTACATGAAAGAAAAGGTTACAAAAATAATGACCACTATTCTCCGTAACAACTTTGAATTCCTATATGTAATCAAATTTGTTGTGGCTGGTCCGATCAAAAGCCTACTTAAGCCGCCCCTTCGGGTTTTCAACTTAGCGAGTTGTCGTCTCAGTTTTAGGTGAATTACGTCTTGACTGCATCAGCATTTACGGAGCGTGGGAGCTCCTCACTGTTCATATACGTAAGAATCATGGCGCCCCCAGAGAAAACCTTCTTAACAACATACGGTCCTTTATAATTCGGAGTCTATTTTCCCCTAGAATCAGGTTGGAAAGATAATATCTTCTTGAGCATGAGGTCACTTTCTTTGAATTTGCGTGGCCGAACCTTCTTATCAAATACCTTCTTCATTCTCTGCTGATATAGCTGGCCGTAATACAACACTGTCATTCTCTTTTCTTCAATCAAATTCAACATATCATATCTACTTTGACACCATTCAGCCTCAAAAAGCT